CCTTGCTGTTATCAAGTTTTAATAAATTTAATCTTTTGACAAATATTGTTAGTTTTAAAGTAAAAGATACTAAAATAATTTATATACTTAATATGCACTCATAAAAAGGATATAAGTATATTAGTATATTAAAAGAGCAAATAAATAAAACAAATAAAAAAAAGAAAATCATGGTAAATATTATAGAATCGCAACAAGTCAATAAAGAATTGCTAAGTCAGATTGCTGATTTAGAAAAACAATTAGCAGATAATGATCAAGGAAGAGAACAAGGAATCCCCAGAAAAGAAATAATCTTAACCAAAGAAGAAATAAGAAAAGCAGTTGGTAATTTAGATAGGAATCTAGAGGAGAAATGTGTAAGGGAAATTCAAGATTATTTTGAATACCAATCTTTTGCATTAGAACACTTAAAAGACAAAAAGTTTAAGGTATCCTATATTCGTCTTATTTACTTACATAAATCTACACTTTATTCTTGAATAGAACTTGACAAAGAAGCTAAGGGTTTAAGAATAGAGAACAACGAATTAAGTCAACAAAAGTGAGAATATGAGGAGAAAATAAAAGAATTGAACAAGTATAAAGAGCAAATTGAAGAATTAGAAACAAAACTTACAGAAACCTTGTCAGTTTGACATAAGGAACAAGAAGAAATTGATGATATTTCTTGAGATGAGCAAATTCATAACTGAGACTTAGGAGAGTTAAAAGAATTAAAAAGTAGAAATAGGGGAAAATTTAAATAAAATTATTTTCACAGCTATTGAAAAACTATATCAAACTTCTAAAGACCTAGCTGAGGCAATTAATACAGTTGAAGAATGAAAAAACTGACAAAAAGATCTTTTGAATGATGAAATCAAACAAAAATCACTAATGCTACAAAAATCTGATAAAATGCTTGAAGAGGAGGTAACAAAAAATACAAAACTACAAGAGGAGTCAGAAGAGAAATCAAAAATGTTAGCAAGAAGTGAGGAAAGAGAGGAAGAACTAAATAGACAACTTTATTCAGAAAGAAAAGCCTTGCCTGCTCTACCTAAAAAACAAAATACTTTCCAAAAATTAGGTTCAAGAATTAAAACAAAGTTCCATAGTAGACCTGATATAAATTAATTTCATATTAACTATTTTTATATAGGGGTAGTTCTATATATCACAAATGGGATATTATAAAACTGTTAATTATAATTGCATTAAAGATAACTAAATTTTGATCCCTGAAATCCTTGGTAATACCAATGTTCACTTTGTCTGGTTTTGTTGCAGCATGCCCCATATCACAAAAATGTCCAATTTCCGCCCAGGTCCAATGAATCATTGAACATTGTCCATTACCCAACAAAGCTGTGCAAAAATCACCATTGAGTGGGCAACTTGGACATATATGTCCAATGGCCCAATGGTCCAATGAAAAAGTCATTGGACATTGTCCATTGCATGAATAGCAATGATATTTTTTGGTCATTATAAAATCACATGACTCAATAATCTATCAGTATTAGTATTAGTATATTCGATCAAGATTTATTCCAATTATAATTATTTGTTTTATTTGTTATTATTATGAATTTGAGTATTCGAATTACATTAAAACTAAAACGAATAATTTGAATAAACGAATAAAAATGAATAAAAATGAATCAAACGAAAAATTCGAAGAAACGAATAAAAATGAATAATTCGAATAAGAATTTGCATTACGAGAAACTCTAATACTCGTTCAGAGTATCAAAATTAGCCAATCATGTTATTATTAAATTAATACCAAAAATTTATTTAGGGTATTGTGAATTTTTGCCAATTTAGGTAAAGTTTATATACGAAAGCTTCGCTATTTTGACATTATAAGCTTTTAGAATTTCTAAAAGAAATTTCAAACTTTCTACATAATTTTGGTTGCTTTTTTTTAGAAAATTGCAACCACCATTTTTTTCGCAACACACTATATACGGTATATATAAAGAAAAAGAAACAAAATAATCAATGTTACTACTACCGAATGTAATTAATATTACAATGATTGCATCTTCATCACGTATATCTTCTCCACATTAGGGGCATTAATCCCAGTATAGATTACACAGTCAGTCTTGATCTCATGAAAATCAATTTAATAAATAAATATAATGAATTAAATACACGTTAATCTTTTATAATTTGAGTCTATTAAAATAAATATAGTCGTTGGCTGTTCTTAGTCAAGGATCAAATAGCAACAAGCTTCACTCTATTTGGATGATGAAAGAAGACAGGCCGTTACATTTGATATTAATTTTATGCAATAAATATACATATTGTTCGTTAATCTCACTATTTGTAAAAACATAATGAATCAAGTTGGGTGATTCGAGTATATATATAACATTTATACCAATTATTAATTAGCAGAGTTTTTAAAAATAAATCTTAAGATTTCTTCAAGAATGTATAAAGTCTTTGTAATAAATGTCCATTGACAAAATAATTTTAAAGAAACAAAAATAACCAGTCTTGATCAAAGTAAAAATCCCGATTTTTTCTTAGTTTTTTTTAAAAAAATTGAATCTTTGAATGTTATTAAAAAGAAACAACCAAGTGTTATAGTACTATAATGATAAAGAAGAATTGTGTGCTTGGTAACTCACGGAAAACATTTCCATAAGAATTGGCTTTAGTAAGAGTTCTTTGAAATCATAACAGTTGAGGAAATCTATGTAAATGCTAATTGTATTAGCAATATCGTACACGAGAATTTTTTCAAACTATAAAAACGTTGGGACTTTTTTGTTATAAGGGAATAAATGATTTGGAAATAAAAATTTTTCATTTTTTTATTTTTATTTTTTTTTTTATTAAGTAATACCAAATAATCATGAATGCCGAGTTACACTTTTCCTAAACATGTTTAATTAGCATCTTTTATCGATCACGTAATCTACAAACTATTTTTTTGAAACAATTATATTCCTTTTTTATTTTTCCTACAATCAATCATGCATTGTTCAAAAGCACTATATATGCTATACTCTTTCGAAGTTGACATTTTTCATTATTATTATGTCCAAGAAAAAAAAATGTCGTCAATATCTTTACCACCGGAACTTTTAATTAAAATATTTAAACACATTGAAAAAGAAAAAAATTATAAAACACTATGTACTTGCATCCTTGTTAATAAGCATTGGTGTCACATCAATATCCCAACTTTATGGAGAAGCCCATTCCATTCTATAAACAGCACCATCATATTAATTAATTGTTTATTAGAAGAGGACAAGGATTTATTGGCAAAAGTTAAGGGTTTATTGGTAGAAGGCGAAAATTTATTAGTAAAAGACAATGTTCGGTTTAAATTGCTGGAGAAACCACCACTATTCAATTATGCCAGATTTGCAACTGAATTAGATTTTGATGGAATCAAACAAAATTTACAAAAAATATCAGTCGATTCAAACTATCGTTTAGAGGAAAGATTAAAAGACTATTGTTTAGAAGAAAGATTAAAAGAATTTATTTTAGATCATTCGACAACTATCAGGAGGCTTAAAATCGTTTATTCGGAAAGTTATAGGTTGTTATATCATCGTAGATTTGATGCTTGTTTTCATAATCTTTATGAATTAGAATGTCGTATCCATGTCAGCTCTGAATTATTTGATAAATTAGCAATTATTTGTAGGAATATTCAAGTTTTAAAAATAGATTGTAATAAAGATTTTATTACTAATTATAATGGTATAGCTCGGCTAATTAAAGCACAAAAACAAATTAAAAAGTTGAATATTGATTCAGAATTTGAATTGGATTTGTCAGATGAATTTAAAAAGGCAAACTTGTTTCATTCAAAATCAATAATCGATTATTCAAGTTACGGTGGAAAAAATAACCTGGATTCTCTGATAATACCAACGTTGGAAAATTTAAAGTATTTAAACATATTTAAAGCATATGGTGGCAGCGATATAAAATATTTAAGATCTGTTTCACTTCCCAATATTGAGGCTTTTTGTGTGGACATTGCTTTTCAAACATTTCTATCAGATCTGTCAGAATTTATTAAAATCAACGGAAGTAGTCTTAAAATTTTGAAAATTATTGGTAGTGGTCAAATAGATGATGAATTTTTGGGCGAGCTTCTTAAATCAATTGGGCAACATTGTCAAAATTTAGAACATTTGTTAATAATTTACAGCAACAATGAATCTAATCAACAGTTGGTTGATATATTTAATAATTGTAATAAATTAAAATCCATAAAGTTTGATTCGATCAACTGTGACGAAGTGGTGGATGCCGATAATATAATATCACTTTTAAATCGAGCATTACCAAAAAACTTAAATACTATAATTTTTGATAACGAGACCATTATTTATGATCGAGGTTTATTATATGAACTGATGATGAATTGGAAAGGTCCCGAATCTTTTAAAATAATAAATGGAAGGGATGAATTTTATCTGGCAAATATTCAAGTAGGAGACGCATTAGAAAGATATCAAAGATTTAGGATTTTTAAAACAATATACTTATTAATTATTAATTATTATTATAAATTCGTTTTATTATATGTAACTTTGTATCTTATTTTCAATTATTTTTTTATTATAATACCTTTCAATGTTTGAGTTTAACAATAATCTAGTTCTTCCCTAATTTTGGCACATTTCATTGACAGCTGTGTAGATCTCAACTAATTGTGATCGATCATATACATACATACATGTACTTTTATGTTGATCATGTCATTCTTGGAATGGGGTAAACTGTGTGACCTGCCAGATATGACCGCCGTAACTCAATTCCACCACAACTTTATTAAATAAAAATTAGGTTTTCAATATATGATAATTGATTACATTTCATTTCTATTATTGTTATTATTGCAAATTTCATAGCAACAGAAAAAATAAAATTTATTATTATTTGTAATCGTAAAGGTTAAAAAATTGGGTTATAAACAAGGGGGTTATGAAAGAGATTTGACTGAAATTCACGCATACATACCATACACGATGAACCAAGAAAAAAATGAATCAACAACTAATAATAAATTTGTTGGACAAGAAATTTCCAATGTACTTAAAGAATATGATTATGGAATTCGACCTGGCTCAATAAAAGTTTTAACGTCAACGTCAACAACAAATAATGAACCTCAAGGACCATTATATTCAAAATTTGAGTTGATATCACTCGAAAATATTAAGTTAATAATTAAAATATTTGAAGAAGGATACCTTGTAAGTTTTTAATATGATAAATAACATTAATTAATTGCTTGATAATAATAATACTATCAATGCCCACATACACAAATATAGATTGAATCATTTGAATCAGAAGATGATGTTAATGAGAAAGATTCTGAAACGATGAAAAAATGGGTAAACAAACCATTTGAATCAATGGAAGCTTTATTATTAACAGTTAGTCCAAAATTTGGAGAGAAATTTCATGATGCTTTGTTTAGTAAGCTTTCGAATATTAATGCTGAACAACAATCAACAGATGATAAAAAGAATAAGAATGACAATGATTAAAGAAAACCACCAAAAAGTCAAAAGGTTGAAAAGTTGAAAATTCAAGCTAATTACTAATTATAATTTTATAGATAGTATAATTAGACTTTTTTTATTAATATATTAATGATAAAACATAATATAAATAGCTTGTAAATTCTTCTTTTATTTCAATTCAAAACAATAAATTTAAAAATTAAAATAATAATGCAACATAACATTAATATAAACAATATTAACAATATGAATAATATGAATAATAATAATAACCAATCACAGCAACAAAACTTGCAACAAAACTTTCAGCATTCACAACTTCTACCACCTGTTTTATTGTTAAACAAAGACCTTGATAATATTGCAAATGGTTGGAGTAAAATATGCCAAGAAATTAAAGTTAAATGGCGTGTTAAATGTGAGTTATATTTTTTTTATTAATACATATATAGATTTGTATTTACTATCAATACATATTATTTCATAAATAATTATTATAATTAACTATTTTATAGACATTGAACCAACGCAATATACTCCTGGTGTAGGAATAAATTTTTTATATTGTTATTTATTTTAATCAATTGATTCATCAATTATTTTAAATTGATTATAGGATTTAACATTTCCAAGAGCAAATATTACATTTTTATGTTTTCAACATGAGAAATGGAATCAATTAAAGAATGAACAAGAAAAAATTCAATTTATAAAAAATTTAATTGACAGGTTTCTTTAATTATTTAAGTTTTATTGTTAATTTTTTGAATTTTATTAAAATTTATTTATTATTAGGATTAATAAATCATCAAAAAGATATTTTAAAGTGTTCTTGTTATTATACATTGAGAATAATAACCTTTATAGGTTGTTATATCATCGTAGATTTGATGCTTGTTTTCATAATCTTTATGAATTAGAATGTCGTATCCATGTCAGCTCTGAATTATTTGATAAATTAGCAATTATTTGTAGGAATATTCAAGTTTTAAAAATAGATTGTAATAAAGATTTTATTACTAATTATAATGGTATAGCTCGGCTAATTAAAGCACAAAAACAAATTAAAAAGTTGAATATTGATTCAGAATTTGAATTGGATTTGTCAGATGAATTTAAAAAGGCAAACTTGTTTCATTCAAAATCAATAATCGATTATTCAAGTTACGGTGGAAAAAATAACCTGGATTCTCTGATAATACCAACGTTGGAAAATTTAAAGTATTTAAACATATTTAAAGCATATGGTGGCAGCGATATAAAATATTTAAGATCTGTTTCACTTCCCAATATTGAGGCTTTTTGTGTGGACATTGCTTTTCAAACATTTCTATCAGATCTGTCAGAATTTATTAAAATCAACGGAAGTAGTCTTAAAATTTTGAAAATTATTGGTAGTGGTCAAATAGATGATGAATTTTTGGGCGAGCTTCTTAAATCAATTGGGCAACATTGTCAAAATTTAGAACATTTGTTAATAATTTACAGCAACAATGAATCTAATCAACAGTTGGTTGATATATTTAATAATTGTAATAAATTAAAATCCATAAAGTTTGATTCGATCAACTGTGACGAAGTGGTGGATGCCGATAATATAATATCACTTTTAAATCGAGCATTACCAAAAAACTTAAATACTATAATTTTTGATAACGAGACCATTATTTATGATCGAGGTTTATTATATGAACTGATGATGAATTGGAAAGGTCCCGAATCTTTTAAAATAATAAATGGAAGGGATGAATTTTATCTGGCAAATATTCAAGTAGGAGACGCATTAGAAAGATATCAAAGATTTAGGATTTTTAAAACAATATACTTATTAATTATTAATTATTATTATAAATTCGTTTTATTATATGTAACTTTGTATCTTATTTTCAATTATTTTTTTATTATAATACCTTTCAATGTTTGAGTTTAACAATAATCTAGTTCTTCCCTAATTTTGGCACATTTCATTGACAGCTGTGTAGATCTCAACTAATTGTGATCGATCATATACATACATACATGTACTTTTATGTTGATCATGTCATTCTTGGAATGGGGTAAACTGTGTGACCTGCCAGATATGACCGCCGTAACTCAATTCCACCACAACTTTATTAAATAAAAATTAGGTTTTCAATATATGATAATTGATTACATTTCATTTCTATTATTGTTATTATTGCAAATTTCATAGCAACAGAAAAAATAAAATTTATTATTATTTGTAATCGTAAAGGTTAAAAAATTGGGTTATAAACAAGGGGGTTATGAAAGAGATTTGACTGAAATTCACGCATACATACCATACACGATGAACCAAGAAAAAAATGAATCAACAACTAATAATAAATTTGTTGGACAAGAAATTTCCAATGTACTTAAAGAATATGATTATGGAATTCGACCTGGCTCAATAAAAGTTTTAACGTCAACGTCAACAACAAATAATGAACCTCAAGGACCATTATATTCAAAATTTGAGTTGATATCACTCGAAAATATTAAGTTAATAATTAAAATATTTGAAGAAGGATACCTTGTAAGTTTTTAATATGATAAATAACATTAATTAATTGCTTGATAATAATAATACTATCAATGCCCACATACACAAATATAGATTGAATCATTTGAATCAGAAGATGATGTTAATGAGAAAGATTCTGAAACGATGAAAAAATGGGTAAACAAACCATTTGAATCAATGGAAGCTTTATTATTAACAGTTAGTCCAAAATTTGGAGAGAAATTTCATGATGCTTTGTTTAGTAAGCTTTCGAATATTAATGCTGAACAACAATCAACAGATGATAAAAAGAATAAGAATGACAATGATTAAAGAAAACCACCAAAAAGTCAAAAGGTTGAAAAGTTGAAAATTCAAGCTAATTACTAATTATAATTTTATAGATAGTATAATTAGACTTTTTTTATTAATATATTAATGATAAAACATAATATAAATAGCTTGTAAATTCTTCTTTTATTTCAATTCAAAACAATAAATTTAAAAATTAAAATAATAATGCAACATAACATTAATATAAACAATATTAACAATATGAATAATATGAATAATAATAATAACCAATCACAGCAACAAAACTTGCAACAAAACTTTCAGCATTCACAACTTCTACCACCTGTTTTATTGTTAAACAAAGACCTTGATAATATTGCAAATGGTTGGAGTAAAATATGCCAAGAAATTAAAGTTAAATGGCGTGTTAAATGTGAGTTATATTTTTTTTATTAATACATATATAGATTTGTATTTACTATCAATACATATTATTTCATAAATAATTATTATAATTAACTATTTTATAGACATTGAACCAACGCAATATACTCCTGGTGTAGGAATAAATTTTTTATATTGTTATTTATTTTAATCAATTGATTCATCAATTATTTTAAATTGATTATAGGATTTAACATTTCCAAGAGCAAATATTACATTTTTATGTTTTCAACATGAGAAATGGAATCAATTAAAGAATGAACAAGAAAAAATTCAATTTATAAAAAATTTAATTGACAGGTTTCTTTAATTATTTAAGTTTTATTGTTAATTTTTTGAATTTTATTAAAATTTATTTATTATTAGGATTAATAAATCATCAAAAAGATATTTTAAAGTGTTCTTGTTATTATACATTGAGAATAATAACCTAGAAATTTTATATGATATACAAATTAGGTAAAACTTAAACCTATATATATCATATCAATTATATATATCATGACCATATTAATAATAAGCTTGTTATCATTAAATTTATTAAAAAGGTTATTGTCAAATTTCATAAATAGTATTATGATTATGCCAGTTCATAATTCAAATGAATTATTAAATATTTTAAGTATAATTTATACTGGACAACAACAACAACAACAAAATAATGTAATTGATCTATTGGTGACTTATTTACTTTTATATATATAGAGAGTTAGTTAATTAAATACATTTATTATTATTACACCATTCTAGAATGAACAGAATTTATTAAAAGAATCAACCAAAAATTTAAAAAAGAATTGGGTTCATTTAGTCTCTCAAATGTCAGCAGGAACGAATAAATTGGAATTACATGGTAAAAAGAAAAAAGTTCAATCAATAAATATCTCTTTGATAATTATTATTCTTTCTATGTAACAAAAACTAATATACCGTTTCTTTAATTTATTAGATTGTTACATTTTACAAGAATGTTTTCAAACGATTTATAATATTTCAAATTCTACCATGTCACAATTATTAGATGCTTCATTGGATAAAGATATGTCTGAAAATGTTCTCAAATTCTTTGAAGAAGATTTTATTTCTTAAACTCACAAATAAAATAAATTATAAATTATAAACAATAACGATAATCTAATTAATAATCTACAAAGTAAATTAAATTAAATAAATAGATTACATAAATTATAAATTAAATAATTAATATTATCAATTAAAAATTATGTATAATAAAAGGTGTGACCGTTGGTGTTGATATTGATGTTGTTGTAGCATTGGTAGTAGTGTGTGGATTTACATGATTTTAATTTGGAACATATACATAACCAGTAGTATAAGGTTGTCCCTCAGGTGAAATTTCAATCTGTTGATTGTTTGGTACAATCGGTTGTGTTGTTAATGATAATGGATAGTTTGTTATTGGTTGTAATGGATAGTTTGTTGTTGGTTGTAATGGATAGTTTGTTGTTGGTTGTAATGGATAATTTGTTATTGGTTGTAATGGATAATTTGTTATTGGTTGTAATGGATAATTTTGATCTAGTGATCGGTAATTACCATTTAGATCATGATGTGAACTATTATTAATATGGTTTGAATAAAAATTTGGATTGCCTAAACTTGGATTACTTGTATTATCTAGATTGCCAGACTTATTACTATGTTTTGGGTAAAGACTTGTTTCGTTTAGACCAGGGTTTGAATTAATTATATTACCTGGATTGTTTAGACTAAGATTGTTTAGACTAAGGTTTGAAACACTTGTATTATCTAATTTACTAATACTATTTATGTTATTAGTATCATCAATATTATTATTAGGATTAGGATTAGGGAAATGATTTAGTACAAATTCTTTATCTTCTTCTTCGCTACTTGGATTTACATCTGATTTACGAGGTTTTGGTACTGTTATAAGTTCATATATCCTACTAATCAGATCATTTAATAACATTATTACACCTGATATTATTGTCAAGATTGGTATTACTTCTCTTGATTGCGTTTTTTGTTGATATAATGCCTAAATATTTAATGGAGAAAAAAATTTTTAATATGTTTTATATATATATATTTTTTTTTACTTACTACTTACCGCAATTACAAGCTGAGGAATATCTTCAATAATCAAATTGAACAGACCACCAATAAAGATCTTTTTTACCGCGCCATGATCAAATCTAGCCTTGAAAATTTCCAATCCCAAGAATTTGGAATTTAATAATCTCAACACCTCAATGTGCACCATTGATAAAACTGTCATGGCCCCGGCAAAACGCTTATATTTGCGTAACCATCTTTCAAATTCTTTATTGTTACTGCTGACACTTTGTTGATAGATTATGTAAAATGCTAGTGCTAAATTAAAACCGAATGGTAAACACAATGCCACCAGACTAATGTTTATATGCATATTTATATGTTAATGCATATTAATGTAAGTATATGTATGCGAATATATTTATTTACCTTGGTATTAGTAAAAATCTGCCATCATCTGTAAGTATATTTTTTAAAATAAATGCAATATCTAATCCCAAATTTGTTATAATCAATGCTAATGTAAAGACAATCGTATTTCTACCCTATAATTAATTAGATCAATAAATCAATCATTAATATTAATAAATTATCTAATCATTTATACACACGTACTTTTTTATATTTAATCCTAGCATAAATATAAATTATCACTAATACAAAGATTACTGCTGCGCCCACTATTATTATTGTTAAATTATCTTTAACAAACGATACTAAAAAACAAATATAAGATAAACTTATTGACCAATATAATTTCAAATGTTTACAAAAATAATATTATTATTAAAGAGTATTTACTTATTTTTTGTATTATGTCGTTGTCCTTTGGTTCCCGTTTATTAATAATATTCTTTTCATAGGATAAACATGTAGTAATCAAAATTAAAAAATACGAGATTATTAAAATTATAATTTTTTTTGATATTGAATTATAATTTAATTTTATCATTTTTGATTATAATACAAAGTTTATAAAAAAAAAAAAAAAAGGAATCATATATATTTGATTTAATTTATAACAATTTACAAAATATAAATATTTATTAATTATAGAATTTTCATTTTGCGAAAAATTCAGATTTAGAAAATATTTACAATTTATTTTTCCACAATAATGCATAACATTATAAATTTTTGATGGTGATCGGCAGACTTCTTTTTTTTTTTTTTTTTAATTCATTGTTCTAAAAAGTCGTTTTTTCAAACTCTTTAATTGGAAGACAGTTAAATGCAAAATGGAGATGATGAAACAATAAGGAGATCTTAAAAATGATTTTTTATAGTGTTTACAAAGACTTTTTGGTGATAAAATAGGTTTATTATGTGATTTGTTGAGAAATATTTATCACGTTCAAAACTATAAAATGAACCAAATACAGTCAAACCTTGTCATAACGGATTTCGATCTAGTACAAATTTAGAAGGTATATGCAGAAATATTGTATTTGATTGGATATTTCTACAGATACCTTCTAAATTTGTACTAAATCGAAATCCGTTATGACAAGGTTTGACTGTAATTCAAAAATTGATTTATTTTACTAAATAGGAAATTCAGTAATATGGTTGGCTCGGTCTAAAGACCTCCTATGGCTGCGCCATGCGGTCAAATTTCAAAATAGCAATTTTGTATATAATTCGTTCAAAAATGTAATAAAATTTTTCAAAAAATAGGACTTCATGTGATTTTAGTTTTCTTACTGCCAAATTTAGATACAATAGTAATACGGTGCAGATCATCTATAATCATTAATTGCTTATAGTAACAATTGGTCAACTTCAAAATACTAAAACAAAAA